AGACAGGGCTTTCTCCTCAATTTCTTCCATGTACAGGTTGGGAACTATAGGAGATACAGGGGAGCCCATCGCACAGCTGTGTTGCTGCCTATAGGAGTGCCCCCTAAACTGGAAGTTGGTAGTGTTTAAACAGAGTTCCAGCAGAGTGCATACATGGTCTGGGGTGAGGTTAGTCCTGTTGTTTAGCGTGTCATCCTTCAGCAGTCTCTTCTTCACCACCCTGACAGCCTCTGTGGTGGAGATGCAAGTGAACAAGCATGTGACATCATATGAGACCATGGTCTCATCCTGCTCCAGCTGCAGCTGTTGGACTTTCCTTGCAAAGTCTTGGGAGTTTATTATGTGGTGCTGTGTGTTTCCCACCAAAGGAGCCAGGATGGTGGCCATGTGCTTGGCTATGTTGCAAGTCACAGAGTTGATGCTGCTGAGAATGGGTCTGAGTGGGGCTCCTTCCTTGTGTATTTTGGTTAGGCCATAAATGCAAGGGATGGCCTCCCCGGTGTATAGTCTATATTACAGTTGCTGGTCAATAACTCCCTCCTTTTCCAGCTTCTGTAAACAGTCTATAACCTTCTTCTTGTAGCCACTGGTGGGGTCCCTCTTCAGTGCTTCATAGGTGGTGTCACTAAGGAGGTCGGAAACTCTGGTCTGATAGTCAGCTGAGTTTAGGACTACTGTACACCTGCCTTTGTCTGCTGGAAGGATTGTGATGGTTTCATTATTCTCTAGTGCAGCTAAAGCCCTCCTTTCCTCGGGGGTAAGGTTCGGGGGTGGGAGTTTGGCACTGGCCAAAGCGGCTGTGATCTTCATCCGCAGTTCTTCTGCCTCTGTCTTGGCCAGCTTGTTGTTCCTAATGGCTGTCTCTGTGGCTGTGATAAAGTCTACCACAGGGATTTGTTTGGGTGTGACCGCAAAATTCAATCCCTTGGCTAATGCCTCTTTTTCTGTGTCCGTGAGTTCTCTGTGCGAGAGATTTTTGACCCATTTGTCATTGGGCAATGGTTGTGGGTTGTGCTCCTCCCTTCTCTTCCAACCAAGGACATCTGAGGCTGGCTGTCCATTCTGTAGTCTCTGGAATTTAACCATTTGGCGAGCCTTGCTCTTGTTATGTTATGTTCGAGCGTGGTGTGGACCTCAGTTGCAGACACAGACTAGAGGAGAGGAACCGAAGAAAGGACAAGCAGGAGACCAAAGAGGACCAGGAGGGATGAGCAGGAGCCCAGAGAGGACCAGGAGGAGATGAGCAGGAGACCAGAGAGGACCAGGAGGAGATGAGCAGGAGACCAGAGAGGACCAGGAGGAGACGAGCAGGAGACCAGAGGACCAGGAGGAGATGAGCAGGAGACCAGGAGGATGAGGAGGAGATGAGCAGGAGACCAGAGAGGACCAGGAGCAGGAGACCAGAGGACCAGGAGGGAGACCAGAGAGGACCAGGAGGAGACGAGAAGGAGACCAGAGAGGTGGGATGTGTGGGTAGCACTAGCAGTCTGAGCAGTGCTAGCAGTTGACAGAGAAATAACAAGAGAGCTAGCAGGTAAATGAACCAGAAAGCGCAGAGCTAAAAGACTTACGTATGTCAATACAGAAAAACAATAAACGGTGAAGAGTACTGACGGACCGGGTGGAGAGTAAACCAGGCTGCAGAGCTGCAGAAACAAACAAACGGGAAGAAAAGGATCGGAACGTGGTACTCTCGGGGAACATACACACGATGAACTGCGTACTAAGGGTATGAAAAAGCAAAGAGGCGGTGGAAGAACGGGGTGTATATATGTGTAACGAGACCGGGAGACAACGAGCAGCAGGTGGGTGAAATGATGGCTAATTGTGACGGAACAGCGGGGAACAGAACCAGGAGGAAATGAGTAGCAGGTGAATGACATGGTGCCTGATGACGACGACAGAGTTGCTGGGAGAGAACAAGTAAATAGAAACCAAAATCCGGGAAGCAGAGTGACACAAAACTGTAACAGTACCCCTGCTCAAGGATGGCTTCCAGACAGCCAAAATGGAAACCCAAACCCAAACCAAGTAGAACAGGAGGACAGAACGGAGGGCCCAAAACAACCCAAATGAAAACCCACGGACTGGAAGCACCGAGTCCAGGCGGCAAGACCGAAAACACAAAATAACTGGCCAAAAATTACCGGACAGGGCACCTAGTCCAAACAAAGAAAAACGACCTAGGTCGCAGGAACCGGCCTCCACAAAGCCGAGAACCAGAGCGGTCATTCAGGAGGGTGGCCTCAACGCCAGATGGGGCTGCGGAGAGGCTGCTCTGGTGGGCGACCTTGGCGGCAGACGGGGCTGCGGAGAGGCCGCTCCTCAACGCAGTCCAACAGGCACCAGAGCTAGGGTGGCGCTGGCTGACCCCTCCAGGGTCAGGATCAGGAACAGGAACCGGGATGGTGCAGGCGCGCCAGCTGGCCTGCTGGGGGTCAGGATCAGGAACAAGAACCAGAGCGACGTCAGGGCGCCGGCCGACCCGCTCAGGGTCAGGATCAGGAACAGGAACAGAGGCGGTGTTGGCGCACCGGCTGAAGTTTTTTCAGTGTACTATGACCTGGATGACTGAGAATCTGCACAGACATGTTCTCCCTGTGCCTGCGTGGGTTCTCTCCAGGTACATGCATGGATTCTACAGACTCAATGAACGCAAAGCCAAAAATACACAATGCAAAATGTGCCAGATAACAGTGTCTTCCTGCAGGTTTGAATAGAAACTTGCCTTCATAAGAAACAGAATGTAAAAATCCTACTGTAATAAGAGTTACAGATTATAGAGAGAATGGAACTCAGCATGGGCTGTGCAATCTAATGAGGTAGATGGATAAGTTAAAGACAACATACCTTTGCATGCTTTCATCAAGTCCTGATAGTTTGTCAGTTTCCACCTCTTCCTCAGTGGTGGTACAGGAGGATGCAGTAGGATCTTGTTCCAGAGTGAGTGGGAGCCCCACTAGTGCACGCAGGTCGTCCGGTAGGGTATGTGTGATTTTCCACAGCTGGCTCTGAATTCAAACCACAGGCAGATCAGCTTCAGAATAACAAGGAAAACATATAAATATTTGTAACCTGAAATTAAATAATTGCAGCATAATATGAGGTTCTGGGGTAACAGATGCAATCTAACAAATGAATTTCGGATATGTATTGTGTTCAGGGTGATGTCTCACCACTTTCTCTGGTGTGTACAGACTATCACGCTCTCTGAGCCTTGTGGGGTCAATCTGCATCATGATGTTTTGACTGCGGTCGATAGCACCTGTCTGACTATAAAAGAGAGGTAATGTAAACAAAACCCAAAAAGTCTCTATAAGGTCAGTAAAGCCCCTTTCAGACATGGAACCAGGGAATTTGTGGCCTACATGTAGCTGTATAGCAGTTTCTTTTTTTGCATTCACTTATGGCTGCTGTGTGCGAAATTCCCAGCAAACATCACAGGGCCTAGCTGGGTACAGCCACAACATTCAAGCACTTTTTTGATTTCCATGTCAGCCCAATTTCCAGCCATTCTGCATTAGCTCACACTGTTAAACTGTACCTTCCCTGTATCTGTTCAAAATAAACTTTGTACTAGTTAGTGTTCTTTACATCTTGGTGCCCAAATTTCCCAGCCCATCTGAAATATAAGATAGGGAGAGAGCAGCAGTGTCCATGAAAAATAAATTGAGTGTTGAGCAGTGACTTAAAGACTTGCAGATTTGTGGCAGATTTGATATTAACAGTTAAACTTATCCACAGTTTTGGGGCCATTACAGCAAAGGCGCAATAATCTCAGTGCTTATATCTAGCCCTTGGTACCTCTAAAAGAAAAAGATTTGAGGACCTAGGGGATCTAACTGGCTTGTGCCACTGCAGGAGTTCACCAAAGTATAACATGGCCAATCCATTAAATGCCTTAAAAACAAATACCAATAACTTAAAGTATATTCTAAAAAAATTGGAAGCCAGTGGAGAGAAGCCAGCACAGAGGTTGTGTGATCATGTGATCATGCTTACAATTACTTGGCAAGAGACAAGTAGCAGTGTTTTGAACTACAGTAGCTGGAGATGAGAAAGGGAAGACATTAATTCTGCAGTACAGTGCATTGCAATAGTTTAGTCTAGAACCGATGAAAGCATGGATTGCCTTTTCAAAATCGGTAAAAGAAAGAAGCAATTTGACTTCTCAGCTGGAAAAAGCTTACCTTCACCACAGAACTTATCTGTTGTGCTGTAGCTCTGTAGTCATCTTGATCACACCCTTACCGGTAATTTGACCACTTGAATTCAGACATGTAGCTGGTTAGAACATAGACAGCTATTTGACTAGGTCGAACCAGGTAAAATCGCCAGTAACACTTTTCAGGTAAAAGGGCTTTGTTCAAACATGAGGCCTAGATATGAAATCACCAACAAATTCCTGGCTAGGGGTTCATGTCTGAAAGAGGCTTAAAAGTCATTTGATGCAGCTAAAACATTAAGCATGACGTTCACCTGGTAGCAGTGTAAGAGTATCCAACAAAAGCCAAGTGTACTCCTATTGGTGCTTTGTCCATTACATCAGACAGTGTCTCCTGCAGAACATAACAATCCAATTTTCATATCAACTACCACTAGCTGATGTTATTTTGTTAGAAGTTGCATACATTTAGCATGGAGCCACACAATGAGCCAGCTTATACTATAAACCTTAATAGATGGATTGCTAGCTCTGTCAAGGTACAGTATATAAGCTAAAAATGGACAATTTGTACCAACACCTTTGTTTTACATGAGATTTGTATCATCAGACAGCTAGGTAAAATAGTTTGGGGGTTGTGTCTCCTTTAGCAGGGTGTGAATATAAAATTTTCTCTCAGACTAGGCTCTGTGCATATTGTGCAGAGTAGCATTTTCTAAAGACAATACCATTTCACTAAGACAGTCATCCAGAATGTCAAAGTTGGAGGTGTCAGTTGGATTAGATACTTCAGGCAAGAAGGGGGCAGGGAGTTTATGCAGGGAACCCCAGTCTAGTCCACAGAAGAATGGATGGCTCCTGAAGTCCCTGGAGCCTTTCCTCCCCAAACGGACCTCCCTCTCACATATGAGTCCAGTGATGAAGGAATGAGCCTTATCTGAAATTTCAGGGCCAGAAGGAGGGAACTCAAAATATTCCTGGGGATTACAAAGAAAATGTTTTAAATAACACAATGCCTGACTTCTGATACCACAGGTAGTATTACTGCTGCTACGTCTACCACTTTGAGTGTTCATCCTGCTAAAACAACTACCTCATATATATAACACAAAAGTAGAGCAAATTAAGGTATTACAGTCCAGTATCCTTTGAAAGGACACAACATTAACTAACACACACACACACACACACACACACACACACACACACACACACATATATATATATATATACACACACACAAGAAAAAGTAATGGCACTGTTTGCAATTTCCAGGTTTTCTTGCATAAGTTGGTCATGAAATCATCTGATCATCACCAATCACAAATATAAACAAACAATGTTTCCAATCTGAGAAAACACAGTCATGAACTTTCATGCCTTTATTGAACACACCCATTACACATACAGAGTGATGGTAGAAAAAGTATTGGCAACACCAGGCTTCTGATGTCATTAAACATTAACTGGAGTCCAATCAATGAAATGAGATCTCAGAAGACCTATGGTCAAGAGTTAATTTGCATGTAGCTGGAAAGGGTTACAGAGTCATCCCAAAGACTGTAGATATTTATTGGGCCACAGTTAGTGTCATGGTTCTGCCCCGCCAGCTTCCAGCATCATGCTTTTATTTTGTTTTGTTGTATGGACTCTTTACTTTAATCAGCACCTAACAGGTACAACTGTTTTCGCCCCGATATAAGCAGATTTCCCTCCACCGGAAAGCTGCCAGATTGTTCTTGACTTACGTACAGACTTTCCAGCATTTCTCTCGTTACCTGTGATTTTGATTCTGACCCCAGATAGTTCTGACCACCGATTTCTGCCTAGCCCTCCTGATTGCTGATCTGTGTATCGACTTTTAGACTGGCTTCTTTGACCACCCGTTTTTGGATCCCTCAGACATTAGTGTTTGCCAGCATTGAACCAGGACTGTTTTTGGATTTGGATTGTCTCTTGGACTGTTGTAGTGTCTGTGTTTCCTGTGCCCTGCCAACAGGAAACTAGCTCGCCTGGCCTTATAATAGAGTCCACCATTCACATTGTTGGTTTTCTACCAGCCTGATCCTGACAGTTAGACATATTGTCTATAAGTGGAGACAGTTTAGTTCTGTGGCTACTCTCCATAGAAGTGGGTGCCCAGCCAAGATCACTCCAAAGGCACAACACAGGACACTAGTAACAGCTAAAGACTTGAAAGGTTCATTTGAGTTGATTAACATCTCTGTTCATAAGTCAGCCATATGCTAAATATTTAACAGGCATGGTATCCATGACAGCCACTGCTCTCCAAAAACAACATTGCAGCAGGCTTAAAATTTGCCAAAGACCACCTTGACATTCCACAACACTACTGGGAAAATGTCCTGTGGACAGATGTAACAAAGGTGGAATTGTTTGGGAAGAACACACAGCATTACATATGGTGTAAAAAGAGAAATGCATAGCAACATGAAAACATCACAGCAGTGAAGTACAGTGCCTTGCGAAAGTATTCGGCCCCCTTGAACTTTGCGACCTTTTGCCACATTTCAGGCTTCAAACATAAAAATATAAAACTGTAATTTTTTGTGAAGAATCAACAACAAGTGGGCCACAATCATGAAGTGGAATGAAATTTATTGGATATTTCAAACTTTTTTAACAAATAAAAAACTGAATAATTGGGCGTGCAAAATTATTCAGCCCCTTTACTTTCAGTGCAGCAAACTCTCTCCAGAAGTTCAGTGAGGATCTCTGAATGATCCAATGTTGACCTAAATGACTAATGATGATAAACAGAATCCACCTGTGTGTAATCAAGTCTCCGTATAAATGCACCTGCACTGTGAGAGTCTCAGAGGTCCGTTTAAAGCGCAGAGAGCATCATGAAGAACAAAGAACACACCAGGCAGGTCCAAGATACTGTTGTGGAGAAGTTTAAAGCCGGATTTGGATACAAAAAGATTACCCAAGCTTTAAACATCCCAAGGAGCACTGTGCAAGCGATAATATTGAAATGGAAGGAGTATCAGACCACTGCAAATATACCAAGACCTGGCCGTCCCTCTAAACTTTCAGCGCATACAAGGAGAAGACTGATCAGAGAGGCAGCCAAGAGGCCCATGATCACTCTGGATGAACTGCAGAGATCTACAGCTGAGGTGGGAGACTCTGTCCATAGGACAACAATCAGTCGTATACTGCACAAATCTGGCCTTTATGGAAGAGGTGCAAGAAGAAAGCCATTTCTTAAAGATATCCATAAAAAGGGTCG